TGCGGAGGCCGACACCCCCGGCCCCTCCGCACGGTAGGCCCCGCGGTGACTGACTGGCGCCTGGTGGTTGTTGAGGGTCCAACTGTAAAATGTAATCCCAGCCAGTTTGACATCACCACAGACTGGTGTGACGCCCCCAGAGATTGGGCAAAACCCGGGAAGCCCCCTCGGGGGTGAGGAGCTACCTCAGTGTAGGCTTTACTGTTTCTTTTCTAGGCGGAGATGTGCTAGCTGTGTGGCGTCGGCATATCGGATCTGCACATCTGGTGCCCCTTGGGGAGCTCTCCCATTGCCACTTTGGGAATCTGTACCACAGTAGGTGAGCAAGAATAGCTGTGTTTTGAACCTGGCCCCTCAATACATGCATTGAATGAATATCAGCATCATCTTTTTCTGGCCTCCACCAGAAGGTCGTAAGGCTGGATATTCAGGAAACAACGCCCTGGACTCAGCATTCTGAGAAAACGTACACTAGGTTATCCTTATAGAATCTGCCATCTCCCAACGTCAGGAGATTCTGTAGGACTTCAAATATTCCTCCTGATGTGTACAACGTTCTTCTGATTCCTAAAGTGGGGAACATTTTAGGGAGACAAATATCTATTGCTTTCCATTCCACAAGTGCTATAGGCATCAGTGAGTGAACCCTGGAGAGTGACTATATCACCACAAATGTTTGCACCTACTCGGAGGAGGGGGACAGATGTGGCTAAGACAGGATTCTGCTAACCAGCTCTGCTTCTCAGATCTCCCTCATTATACATCCTTGATTTCCTTAGATCCCCATCTCACAAAGACAGAATTTTCCTAAAATATGCTACAGTACCTTTTAAGGAAAGTCATTTGGGTTTCTTTCTGGCTTAACAACACTGGGAGCAGCTCCATGTTATTGGGAACAGGGAAGTTTATTTCCCTAGAGGACCAGGGTTAGCAAAAGTGTTCAATCCCGCAGGGCAGTTTTGTTTGCTTATTTTCATAGAAACTTCCTTCTTGCCGTTTAGAGAACATAAAGTCCCTACATTGGGCTGACCCTAAAAACATCAAGACATGAGGAATGAGTGAGGAGGCCTGCTTGATGAGCCAGGAAAAAGGCAGAAACCTGAGGTCTGGGATGGAACAGGTCCTGCTCAAAGCACAAGCTTCAAATGCAATTATTTAGCATCCCTTTGTTCAACCCAACTCTGTGACATGCTTCTGGTATCCTACTCACCAAATTATCTTAAAATATACTTAGACAATTCACTTATTAATGTCTTATTTATACATGTTGATCTCTATTTTCATTGTTCTTAGGGTGTTTCCTCAATTTGTCTCATTATGCAGGGAGTTTGTCTGGTATATTCTCCATTCTAATGTTATTCATTCATTCATTCAGGAAATTGCTTCTGTGCCTGCCCTGTGTCACACTCTCTTAGACACTGGGTCAGATGAAAGTTGGATAAGGTGTGGTCTTTTCCCTCAGTGAGTTTACAGCCTAGAAAGGAAAAATGCATGCAGACACATGACTTGCGTGAGGGAGTCAGATCATCAGAGAAGGTAATATTTCATTTTGGTATGGTCAAAGAAGTTTTACAATTTAATGTAGCTGGAGGTTGTCCATTCAACAGATATCTATAGAATATCCTCTGTGTGCCACTGTGTTAGAAAGTAAAGATGCAAAGAAGAAAAAAATGTATTTGTGCCCTGAAGGAGCTCACAGTTTAGCAAAGAAAGGGGAGGATGTAAAATTAGTAAAGTAGGTAGAGTCAGATTTTGAAAGATAATGAAGGGCTAGAAATCAGATAAAGGAGAGAACTAGTGATAGTGAGGATGAGGAAGATGGCTGGAGTGGATAAAGGCTAGAGAAAGGGAATCTAATCAGAAGAGCAGGGTGAGGGTTTGATCAAGCAGGGAGCATGGAGAAAAGGGACAGATAAGTGAATTAATTCCTCACAAAGTTACAGCAGCTGGAAAAGGAGATGGCACTGTTAACAGTAAAAGCGTTCAAGTCGCATGCAGGATATGATATCCCTCCAGGGCGAAGAGCCTGGATTCAGTATTGGAGTCAAGAAATCACTTTCTTATGAGCTTCCGTGCTTAGAGCCAAATGGGAGAACATCACCAGAGGAAGGGTCTTGTGAAAAGCTAAATAAAAAAAGCTAGGCAAATTATCCAAACAAGTAGCGAATCCAAGGGGCTAGGAAGAAAAACAGCCAAAAGATTGCAAAACTGGCAAAACCCAATGAAAGTGAAGAATAGAAAGCAGAACCTGGAAAAATCCCTTGAAGCAACAGGAAGGAAGACCCAGTGATTTCTGAAACCTATATCCCAGAAAACTTTTTGTTTGTATGTTTGGGTTTTTTTCTTTGCTTTTTAGAAAACTAATTTGGAAATAATTTCAAACATACAGAAGAAGTTGTAAGAATAATAGAGACTACTGATATACCCTTTTACCTCGATTCAGCAACATTTTGTCCCTTTTTCTTTATCATTTATGTTCTGGTGCTCCACAGTTTCTAGACTGATGAGTCTGCTGTTCTGTTTGTTTTTTGTTTTTGTTTTATACCAGGGGTCAAACTCGGGACCTTGCCTTTGCACTTGCGAGGCAGGTTGCAGGACCAGTGAGCTAAATCCCTCGTTTGTCATTCATGTTCTTACATGGGCTACATAGATCTTTATCCATACATACATTTTTTTCATTTGGCAGTAAGTTGCATGCATCAATGCCCATTTACCACTTAATACTTGACTAGCCTAAAAAATAATACATAATGGAATACATACAATTATCAACTCTAGAAAACTTAACCTTGATATACTATTTTAATCTACTTTCAGTATTCCAATTTTTGTCAGTTGACCCAGTAATTTTCTTCTTAGTCTTTTTTGTCTTCCAGCACAAAATCCAATTTAGGCTCATATTTCTGTGTTTAATTGTTCTTTTTCTTTAGTCTTTAATAAATAAATATTTCTTTGTCATATATAACTAGAGACTGATCTCAGGGCCCTTGCACTGAGCTATGCTTACAGCCATTTTTAAAATTTTTATTTTGAAACAGGGTTTTGCTGAATTGCCCAGACCAGGCTTGAGCTTGTGATCCTTCTTCAGAGTGCTGAAATTACAGGTTTGTTCCCCCTTGCCTTCTTTGGCTATGATATTTTTTAACACAGTGCTTCACCCCCCGCCATCCCATAAAATAATGGTCCTCATTTTAGGTTTGTTGTTTATGTTTGTCTCATGTTTACTCAGGATTAGATTCAAGTTTATCTATTCCTGGTCAAGATAGTACATAAATGATACTTGTGTCCTCAGGATATTGTACCTAAAAGCTCACAGTGACTCTTTGCCTCTCATTGATAATGTCAGTTTTGATCACTTGACTAAGGTCTCTGATTTCTCCATGGTATATTTACTAATTTTCTTTGTAATTAAGAAGCAGTATATGGAAAGACACCTTAGACCGTGCAAGTATCCTGCTCCTCATTATATATCTTCCCTTAGATTTACCATCTATTGACCCCCCCCCCAGTACTGGGGATTGAATCCATGACCTTCCTGCGAAACTATTCAACTACACCCGGTCCTTTGATTTTTTGTTTGTTTGTTTTTGTTTTGTTTCTTTTTTGTATGCATTCTCACTAGGTCACTAAACTGCCCAAGCTGGGCTCCTTCTTCAGGCTCCCAAAGTGTTAGGATTACATTCTTATCTGTACTGGTCCCCATATCTCTTATTTAGTTAGGACATCACTTAGTTGTCTGTTGAAAATGATGTAGATGCATGAATTATTATTTTTTCAATGGTTTGTAATTCATTTTTGTCCTTATTTTAGTGCTAGAATTTTCCAGATTTGTTCCGTGGATACTCCTTCAAGCTGGCTTCTGCATCTTTTTTAGCATGTCTCCCTAAAATATTCCACGGTTATCTTGGACTTTCCTTGTCCAAGCTTTAGACTCAGTTAATTGTCTGAGAAGTCTTAATCCTTTTTATCGCAAATTGGGAAAGGAGATCTGGGCACTAGCTCCAGAATGGCATTTTAGTGGCTTTAGAAATGAATTCCCATCCTGAATTGACAGTTTCCCTATTCGTCCCTTCCCCTAGAATTGCAAGATTGAGTTATCCCCAAGATGTTTTCCCCCAGTGCTCCTTTACAGTACTGTTAGCAAAGGAAGCTTACATAGAAGAATGTGGCAGATAATGTTCATTGGCCATCAGAGAATAGTTAGTGGCTGCTGTATTTTAGGAGTCCATGTATATTACATCCAGATTTTATTTTATGACTTTGTTATTCCTTGGATCTTTTGAATCTCGCCAGAAAAAAAGAAAAAGGGATAGAGAAAATGTGGATTATTTTATAGGGAGTTTTTATAGGCCAGGTCTGAAGGTAGCAAATACACAAATCTGTAATGAACACATTTATTGGTGGGAAGTCTAAAACATGGATACTGAAATAAAAAAATAAGCCAATCTCTGTCTCATCCCAAAGGTATTCCCTATAATATTTATTTCCCGTTAGGGAAAAGAAAAATATGAGAAATGGAAAAAATGGAAACAAAGTCTTTGTCAATAAGGGAGGGTGGAGGGGGTGAAGGGATATGGGGAAAAAATGAGAACCGAGATCTGACATGTAAAGGTACAAGATCCCAGTAACGAATGTAACTGTACTGTATATTTAAAAAGTACCAATAAACTCAAATGAAAAAAATTTATTTCCTGTTACTAGAATCCCTGTATTGTTCAAGTATAAGGAAGATCCTTTGATTCCAAGGAAGGCAGTTTCCTTCCTTGGAATAAATCACAACTGGTCTGGACCAATCCTTGGTAATTCCATTTCCCATTGCCACTGATGTGTCTAGGGATGGGACTCAGTTATGGCCAATGAAATATGAAAGAAGTTTGCTAGGAGGCGCCTGGGGAAAATTCTTATTGTCTAAAAAAGGACTTAGAGAGAAAGTCTTTTGCTCTTACCTCTGCCTTTTTCCTGAGACATGGTTATGAAAACATGAAGCCTGGAGCTAACATGGCCTTCTTGTGACCACAAGTACAACAAACAGCAATGAAGACAAACAGCATTCTGAGGACAACAGATGAGAAGGAAGCAAAGAGTGGGTCTTTAATAATATAGTCAAACTTCACAGAACCTGGAACAGCCACCTTCTGGACTTCCTCTTAGGGAAATAATTGTTATGCATTAAAATAACATTTTTGGGGGGTTTTTGTTTTCGTTTGTTTGTTTTTTTGTTTTGTTTTGTTTTTTGAGACAGGGTCTCCCTATGTAGTTCAGGCTGGCCTTGAACTATGTAGTCTAGCCTGACCTCGAATTTATGGTGATCCTCCTGCAGCCTCCCCGGGGCTGGGATTACAGGTATGCACCACCACACCCAGTTTAAAATGCGTTTTCTTGTCTTTCTTTCTTTATTATTTTAGTACCAGGGATTGAACTTGGGACCTTGCACTTGCGAGGCAGGAGGTGGCTGCACTATGGGCTAAATCCCTGGCCCTATGTTTTCTATCCTTAACTAATACTAGGAGAGATTTTCTAAAAGAAGGAGCTAATCTGTGGGGCACAAAGGAGCTAAGAGACAAAAAAGGATAAAGTGCTAAGAGGTGGAGGATTAGGACTGAGGTGACCAGTGGATCTGGCAATGAAGCGATCACTGCTAATCTTGGTGAAAGCAATCACTGTGGTTCCTACATAAGATTGTTTACAGTATGAGCCGTGACTGGCAAGCTGGGAAGGATGATTTGATCCAGTTGATCCATTTTGACTACTTTCTCTGTCCCTTCGCACAGGAATAATCCAGGAAACATTCTGGCTCCCTTAACTGCTTTCATGAAGAAGCAAATGAGTGATGGGGACTACAATAGAACACACTGGGGATGAGGGCCCAACAGAGATGACAGCTTGATGGCTAGAAGGCTGGATGAAGGGTGAGTTTATGAGATTAAAGTGGAAGGTTCAAACAGAAGCAATTAAAAATGAGAGGGAGGGGCCGGGGATTTAGCTCAGTGGTTCCACTGCCTGCCTCGATCGGAAGTGCAAGGTCCTGAGTTTGATCTCTGGCACCAAATAAATAAATAAATGAAGGTGAAACTAGATGGGGTGGTTGTACAATATTGCCAATGCACTAAGTGCCACTGTATCCCTAATTTTTCTAATTATTAAGGGTCGACACAGAAACTAGTCTGAGGAAGAGAAAATGCCTCCAATTCTCATATAACCAGCGTTTACTGCTCCTCACACCCTCCTTTCCCTATAATTATTTCCAGTGACTCCCTTTTCTACACACCTTTGTCATATACTATCCCTTTGTTCAGTGAAACCAAGGGATAAGGCTTTTCTCTCCCTTCCCTTAGTCCATTATCACTCCTCATTATCAGGTCTCCTGCATTCAGCAGCTTCTGACCTTTTCTTTGACATATGGTAACACAAGCTTTTAGAGCCTGCATTCCATATGTCTCTATCAACAATTCTAGGCAACATCCCAAACCAAAATAATGCTCTGAGAAGGCAGTAGAAACCCACAAAGCAGAGAAACCTTAAATTTAACAACTGACTTATATGTGCTAAGTCATTTTATACTTCTACAGACTCAGACAGCAAAAAGGACCTCATATAGTATTCTTTGCATAGCATAATCCTGATGTGTGTTTGGTACTAATAACTTTTGGGGGGAGAGATGAGACAAGGTTTTAGTAGTTAGGTTTGAGCTCACAGAGATCCTCCTGCCTCAGCCACTGACTGAGTGCTGGGATTACAGGTGTGCATCACCATGCCCAGACAGTACTTTTGCTGAGTAAATTACCAAGTGCTTGTTTACAATGCTGAAACCATCAGAATTCAGTTAAGTGTGGAAATGAGTTTATGGGCCTGGGATTTAGATCAGTGGCGCCACACCTGCCTGGCAAGTGCAAGGTTGATTCCTGCCCCCCACAAAAAAAAGGAATTGAGTTTAAGAAACTTCAAAAATTAATCTTCATCATTGGCTGTGAATTTAACTTATTATTACTTTTGGAAACTCACTTGGATATAAGCTGTAAGCAGTCAAAAAGTGATTCTCTATTGGGGGTGGGTGAGGGGAACATGCTCTATCAAACCTTAGATGATACATTCTCTGATGTGAGAGAGACTGCCTCACCAACCCCACTGCTCCTAGAATGTCCAGTATAGAAGAAAAACATGGTGACTTAGCCATACTTAGTCTCAAAATAGAAATTAAAGACTGGGATGCAGCTCAATGCAAAGGCTGTGGGTGCAGCTCCCAGTACCAAAAAAAAAAAAAATCTCCTTAAGTCTGATATCCATAAGAACCCAACTCTGCTAGTTACTAGAGTGTGAGAGTGAACATGTTAATAAGCCCCACTTTTGTCATCCTTAACATGGAAATGGTAACATTTTTTTCCTTACCTCCCTCCTTCCATCCATCAGAAAATTCCTTCAGTGTTAGTTCCAAAATCCACTACTATCGTTATTATCTGATTCCACCTGTAGAATCGGAAAATGTGAGAAGTAAAATATAAAATAATAAATGTGGGCACTTGAAAATTGCTAAAAAAAACCCAGGTGTGGTGGTACACGCCTGTAATCCCAGCACTTGGGAGGCTGAGGCAAGAAGATCACTACAAGTTTGAGGCCAGCCTGGGCTTTATAGTGAGTTTACAGCCAGCCTGAACCACAGTAGTGAGACCCTGTCTCAAAAAAATAAAAACAAACAAAACAATTACTAAGAGAGTAAATTTTTTTTTTTACCACACACACAAAGATAACTAATGGTAACACAAGTAATGGGTTTGTTAATTAGCTGTACTTCGATAATTATTTAACAATATATACGTCAAAAGTCGTACACTCTACATGTAAACAACTTTCATTTGTCAATTGTATTTCAATAAATAAAGATGCTGCAGTACTATCTTAATTAAAGTAAGTGTAGGTTTTAATTATGTATAAACAAGGAGCCTTACAAAGAATGCAATCTTGCAAACCTAAAATTAACTCTTTCATAGAGGTACTCTTCCATGAGGATGTAGAATATTGGAAAATTTAACAAAAAGCCCAATTCAAGTGCTCTCCTGATATATGAAAGTTTTTTTACTGAAGAATCCTAGTCTCTCAGGAAATGTAAACTGTAACCCCAAAGCTTATGTTGACTACCAAGCCAGTAAAACATGATGTTTCCTTTTAAAAATAGTTATAAAACATGTCTATTGCAAGGAAGAGTTGATT